CACATTTATTGTACATTAATTTGAGAACCACTGTGCGATCTCCAGAGGACATGTTTTTCAAATTTGACAGTTGGTGCAGGCAAAGACACAACTTTTCTCAAGTCCATGGGGAGGCATCGTCTACCTTTATCAGGGCATTGATGCCCTTACTGTAACAAAGGTGTTCCTTTAAAATCAGAGACTCTTTCCTCAGATGGAATGCAAAGCCTTCCCATTGGACCAGATATGAGCTTCCTACTTCTGTGAGGCAAAGTTTCAATGCCTTTACTCACCCAAAGCAGTGCCTGGCTGCTTTGATGTCATGCTACTTTGAAAGCTAAAAGCACTGACTAAGCAAGTTATTGCTAGCACAAAGGAGAGAGATTGCAGTCTGACCTACTGGCAGCAGACTTCACAGATTGTGTTGTCTGCTTCAAAAAGTTTGCCCAAGGCATGGCGTGCTGCTGGATGTGAAGGAAGGGGATGGCAATTTGATGGCAACATTGGCATGCCATGCCCTTCATTGTAGGAGTTTCCTCAAGCCAAAGACAGTTGTCTCCCTGAGGTAGAAAAGGTGGTTTGATTAAAGGTGACCAGATGGTGCAGGAAAGGGCAATTTCCAAAACAGCACTCAGAGATGATTTGTGTTGTCACACCTTCAGTACAGAATTGATTCTTGCTGATGGATTGCCAAGTCCATCCCTTGGGGTAGTTTACTCCATGCATATTTTTACCAACATTCCCATTAGAAAACTTGAACATATATTTCTCTACTTTAAATGCTTCTTCATTGCAAGGAACCCCATTTACCCTTTGTTCCAGGTTTTTGCTATTTTGTGAAGGAAGAGGGAAAGGCTCAGACATTGGAGGATGTTCTGACTAAATTTCAGTCAGGGCTTGACTCAGCTCTGAAAGAAACATAGCTGTTTACATTAGCAGCTGTCAGAATCAACCTTCAGAGGTTACCTTATCCAGTGTCACTCTCAAAGGGGTACTGACATATATGTAAGATGGGGTTCACTATGACAGTATTGGGTTGAGTTTCAGAATCTGTTAAGGATGGAGATATCGTGCCTTTCAGAGCCATGCCATGTCAAACTACTCCTCTGGTAAACAAAATTCTCCTAACGTCCAATCTGAATATTTATACTTTAAGCTCTAAAAAGACACAATTTTCATTGTATCATTTAGCCTATCTTTTCCTTGTGGGCTGAAATAGCTGTTGAGCCACTTTATATCTGAGAGGTTTTAGTCCCCTCTTTATATTCCTAGTAAGTCCTGCATGCATCTGTACATCTGGCAGCAACAGTGTTTTGTCTGACTTATGTGTCACTTTTTTCAGTTCTTATGAAATCAGTGTGACAGGAAGGAGTGTGAATGTGTGGGTGACAGAGATGAATTTGGGTGTTGCAGTGAAGAAGGTTACTATTTTTAGAGCACAGTCCTTGCCCATATGAGCACAATGCCCAAAGTTTCGCAGGGCTCTTTTTTCCCACTGAAGCAGACAAGGCCATATGGGTTCAGCTATTTCACTTGGATAGCCTTTCAAGGAGTTGGGGAAGAAGCAGAGGGAAAGCACAGAAACTGAATCCAGTTTTACTTCCATTTCTAACAAAAATTGGGACCAGGAGCATCTGAGCCTCACTGGAGATGGCTGTTCCACATTGAAGAAGGGGCTCTGATGCCCAGTGTATTTGCTGCTACATGTAAGACTGTATCCAAAGTTGCTAAGATGCGTTCCCATTTTTGCAAGAAAAGACAGGATGATTTTCATCTGATGGCTCCACTGCATTCTCCCTTTGGGCAGAAGTGCTTAGCTTTCTCTAGCTTTCTCTGGTGCTTAAAAAGAGCAGGGTGCAGGGCTGAGCAGGAGCTTCATCTCTGTCCTTTGGGGTCACACAGTGGTACTTGCCACATCTTAAATTTTAATCTGCAGTCAGTTTTTGTACAAAAATGGTAAAATATATTAGTGAAAGTAATAAGGAAATAAAAAAATGTTTATGAGTAACTCAGAGATGAAATGTGTAGTTGCAAACTCAGCTACTTTGCCTTCCATCCAAACTTATTTTTCTAGAATGCTTCATTCCATTTCATGATCTAGCAGCACAGATCCTGAAATCTTTTTTTAATGACTACTTTTGGCATTTTAAGCACAGTATTAAGTGAGATAGTTACATGAGCTTCATGTATTCATCTCTACGAAGCCACCTACAGGAGAGGAGTCAAAAGCAGGACTGATTTGTGTCTCTAGCTGAGTCTCTGATGTGGGAAGTGAAGACAGACATCCTCAAAGGAGCAAAAAAGTAATACCATTTTCAAGGCAGCAAAAAACAACTCTGGAAAGTGTGAGGCTGCATCAGTCAGTTTGTCAGAGAAGGCACAAATTATCCTGTAAACTGGTCAAAGGGAGCTTTGGCTCATGTATGTATGCACTTTTTTTGCTTATGCTGGTAGGTGGCTATCTGTGTGTTTTCCCCAAATGTCACTCGGATTATTTAACTATAAGTTTTTAGCATGTTTTTAAATAAAAACTGATACTGAGTAAAAGTATCTTTAATATACACAAATATTGATTTGTATAAATGCATACCTCTCTGTATCTCTAATTCATGAAAGCACAGTTCAAGTCTGTGAAAGTGCTATTTCTCTGAGTGTTCCTTCAGACTGTAGCATACCTGCTGTCTTACTGTCCTTTGTGCTTGGAAGCTGCAATAGAACTTAAGCAGAGACAAAACAGGAGAACTGCCTGAAGAACCTCTACTTGAAAGCTGATGAAGTGTTAACAGTGAATTCTGTTCCCTTCTGGACGTACCAAGGCTGTTAGTTACAGGAAGCCCAGGTGGAAGGTGCTCAAAAAAAGTGCCCATAGCATGTAAGATGTTAAAAACAATGACATAAATGTCTTCAAGATGACAGAAGATACCTTGGGTGTGTCATGCATTGAGTTCCTGGACTATGGTCGCTTTAGGCCAACTCTCCTATCCTGTGTCAACCCCCCCATTTGTATGCATGTAATACAAACTCACACACAGGAGGGGTGCAAACAGGGGGCAGCCAAACTGATCCTCGAGGTCTTTCTTGGGCAACTAGTGGTCACACATAGAAAAGGTCAAGGGGAAAAGGGTGTTTTCCCATCAGATGGTTCTTGGGAGCAGCATGGAATAGCCCACACATAATTCTGATGTAACTTCTTTCCACAGAGTTGAGCAGCTTCATCCTGTAGCTGGCATGGGGAAACCTGGAGATGTCTGGCTGTGGGCTAGCCATCTGTTGTGCAGTAGATAGTAGACACTAAGAAACAACATGCCATTCCCACCGGGTGATGTTTGCACCAGTGTTTCTTCTATGCAATACCTACTTTCGCCTTTATATAAAAGATTTTTACTAGGATGATATAAAAATAAAGCATTTTTTCAAAGGTGCCTCTTTGAGCTCGTTTGTCTCCTAACCCCACCAAAACCAAAAAGGGACAAAAAATTCCAAACGGTGACTGACAGAGATCTACTCCAACTCCACTGCACTTGAAATCCAGTGTTCTTGAAACTGTTGCATCTCTGAAAAGATTCCCCTCCTCCACCCTGCCCCAGTCCTCTCTCATCCTTCAAAACAATACTCTAATAGAACAGAAATAAGTGTGAAAAGTACCCAAAAATGGGAAAATGATTTTGAGAGCCTGTTAATAAAGGAAAGAGATTGCAAGTCTCCCAGAGAATATAGAATAGCTGAAGAGAGGACAAAGTAGTAGAGAGCTTGAAAGACATCCAGAGGACACTGAGAAGTCTCAGACAAAATGTGAAAACTGATTAACACTCAGACAGAGAAAAACTGCAGAATAGCCTTCCAAATGCCAGGAAAGTAGAAGATGGCCTGAAAAATCACCAGATGAAACTGCGGAGCCAAGCAGAAGGGAACAAAGCAACAGAGGGTCTGAAAGAGATTCGGAGTATATAAATTAGCCTCAGGGAAGGGAAGAAAGCCTGTAAGTGCTCAAGGAAACAAAATACAGCAATGACAAATTGGCCAAGAAAGAAATAGATAAGGCAAAGAATCCCTCAGAGAATACAGAAGAGGCTCAGTGATAACAAGAAAGTCTCAGAACTATGACAGGAGTCCCGGAGTACTCAGTAGTACCAAGGGTGGCCTCAAGAGAAGACCAAGAAAAAAAAGGAACTAGTAGAAAGCCTGGAAGAACTATGATAAACACACAAGAGACCCTGACAATAACAAGAAAGTATCAGAGATTCTGCAAGTGCACTGGAAGTGTATATCTGCATCTGCTAAGAGAGGAGAGAGGCTAAAAGAGCAACAGCAAAATAGCCTTGGAGAAGGGAAGTAACGAGCAGGAAGGCTGAAAAAAATCCCAGGAGAAAGAAGGGTAGTTGCTGAGATGCCATGAACCTTGAAGGGAAACTAAAACAGCTGTAGAAAACCCAGTCTAACGACAGAAAGGGAGGCTGAGGTGAGTGAGATACAAAACAAGCAGAAGGACTTAAAGTGCTCCAAAGTCATCTCAGTGAGAGGAAGGAAGAAACTGAAAAGCAGCCATAGCAGCTTTGAAGAGTCTAGGGAAGAAGTGGAGAGGTTGAGAAAGTCCCAGAGAACAGAGAAGCCTTGCAGAGCTTGAGAGACTAGAAAAGAGCCTGAAAGAACCTCAGAGAAGACAGAGTAGGCTCAGAGAAGTTAAGAAAATAGCAGAAAACCTATAAATGTGAAGGATAACAAAGATTAGCTTCAGAAAGGTGGAAAAAAGTAGGCCAGAAAGAGACCCAGAGATCAGAGTAGCCTTGGAGAGGTGAAAAAGTACAACAGAAAGACTGAAAGAATGCTGAGAGAGCAGAGAGTGGCCTCACAGAGATGAAGAAAGAAGCAGATGTTAAAAGGAGAGCACATGGTACCACTGGAGGGCCACGGAAGTATGAGAAAGACTAGAAGAATCCCAGTGCATGCAGAGTATGCTTAGGGCAAGCCCTCCTAGCTAGGCTGGAAAGCCTGTTTGAAAACATGCTCTTGCCCTTGTTCCTCAAAGCAGGGGTCCACTCTCATGAAAGCCAAAGCTCTACCTGCAACACTGGCTGTGCAGTCAGGTGTTAACCCATAGGTTGGGGCCCTCCTGCCCAAGCCTTGCCTTTCCACTGGCAGGACCAAGGAGAACAGCACCTGGGCTCCAGTGCCCTGTAGCCACCCTTGGTTTACTAAGGTCTCCCTTGACAATACCCTTGGTGCACACATGGATGAGCAGGCCAGGGGAACAGGCCAAAGTCTGGACATGCCTTAGTGCTCTCTGCAACAGTCTCAGGTCTAATTTCTCTCAATCAACAGGTCACGTGAGGTAGCAAACAAACTCAGTAGATGCCTCTGTATCCTGTAGAAGGAAGTTTCCAACCACTGTCACAGTGCTGGCTCAAGTGTGGTTCAGATTCATCTGGCTGTGATGCATTCCTTGGCAATTCACAGCACCTGTGTTGTCCTAGGGTAAACAGTGGTGTGGTGAGTGACTGCATTAGAGCAGATGCTGGGATGCATGTATGTGCACACATTTGAGTATGGGAATGTCCTATAGCTTTGTGGAAGCATGAAGAGACTCTGGAGGTTTTCTTTTCTCACTTTGTAGCAGGTTGACCCTCACCCACAGCTAAGCACCACACGATATCTCACTCACTCCTCTCACAAAACCACAGTAGGATGGGGAGAGCAAAAGCGAGAAAACTCATGGGTTGAGATATATATAGTTTAGTAAGTGAAGGAAAAAGTGATGCAAAAGCAGAGTGATGTCCAGACCCAGTCTCTGAGCAATGGCTACCTCCCCAAAATCTCTCTCTCCTCAATTTCTGTTACTGTAAATGATGTTATAGAGCATACAATATTATTTGGGTCAGCTGTCCTGCTTGTGTCCCCTCCAAATTTTTGCCTACCCCTGAGGAGGGCTGAGTGGGGAAAAGAGTAATGATGCTGCGCAAGCACTACTCAGCAATAGCCAAAACATATGTGTCTTATCAGGGCTGCTTTAGTCAAAAATCCAAAACACAGCATCATATAGCTTGCTACAAAGAAAATTAACACTATTCCAGACAGACCCTGGTACACTCTTAAGCATCACTTGAGTGCTGGTGGATAGAGACATCATGAAGATTCAGAGAGATGGGGAATGCAATTTTGCCTTTACTTCTTACGGATTACTATCCTCTCCAGACTTCCCAGACAACCCCACAGTTTGCAGTGTGGCATTGTCTCTGATCATCCCAATCTTGCTCACTGCATTCTGCAGACACAGAATAAACTACTGAAACTACAGTTGCTTCTGCTGCCCAATGTAACTGGGCACAAAAGTTCTCTGCAAATGCTTTTCTCTCCTCAGAGATAGTACAGCTCAGCACAGGGAGCAAAGATGGAGAAGCCATTCCCTTCATCAGTGTTATTCACTAGGAGATGAGGTGGACAGCAATGCCATCTCCAGTCATTGAACAAGGTTGCAAGTAGTCCCTGCGTTCCTTCCTAGGCTGTAATGAAAGGTGGGAGAGGAGTGCATCAGGCTATGGGTAAGGGTTTTTTTCTCTGTATGTAGAATTAATGTTTATATTGAAATCTTAGGCTGACAGAGTTCAGTGCAGGTGTGATATGTACATAGAAGCACAGAAGGATGCGTAGTATCCCTGCCATATATGCAAAGTATGCTACACAAAGTAAGGGAAGTAGGGCGATGAGTGAAGTTTAGTCATTAGAACAACATTAGGCCTTGATGTCATTATGCAATGCTGCAGTTAGAGATAAATGGTTGTGCTAGCCTAGAAAAGATAGTCCAAAATGAGTGCAGGTATCAAAGTGTTCTCTGTGCCCATGGATCCTCTATGTCCTTCTCTAGAGAAAAACAAACTAAAGCTCTCTGCGGTTCTCCTGCTGCTACAATTGCATCTATTTGCATTTAAATTCAATTAATGTCAGTGAAGGACTCCTCCTTCAAAACAACAAACAACAAAAAAGACAAATTGAGATGCTGGAGCTCAGTCTACCCATAAAAGGAGACAGAAAGGCAAGGGGCAATTTGGCACACTGTGGGTTGTGTTCTCCATGGGGGTAGAACATATGTGTTCTCCATATGGGGTAGAACAGGTACTACTTGGGATCATGGCTTCCAGGCACTATCACCGAAAAAAAAAAAGCATCAAAGAACTAAGATGTTCCTAGACCTTTTCCATTTCTCGAAGAGTGCAAAATAGGCATAACCGGGGAAGGCACAGCAGGAACAGGGTTAGAACAGTATCTTCTAGAACACAGAAGGATGCAGGAGAGTCAGGTTAAGAAAGATTGCTTGACACATCTAACAGCTCTTTGAACAACAAATCAAGACAATGTGGACTTTCAAGGAAAGAATGTATAATGATTTGCTTCTACAGCTTCCTCCACATCTCAAGACCAATGCCATATTTGAGGTGGACAGCCATTCCCTTTAGATGTGATGCTCTGTAATAAGTAGAGTATTTCCTCATACTCTTGCCTGTGGGCAACTGTACTTGTGAGTGTACAAGTTTGTAGATACCACATGCATCCTACAGTTTCCTTTATACTACAATACACATTCCCATGACAAATTCGTACAGTTTTTAAAAAGTGGCAAACCACTGTCAATATTTTATTTTAATGGCACAGTCATTGTATTTTTAGGGGCTTTTTTGGGGGCATGGAATGTTTATATTTCAATCTTTCTTTGGTTGTTCTGTTTGGTTTCTGCTTACTCTCAGTTAATGGTGGCAGAATTATATTTCATTATCGTTTACGTTATCATTCTGTTATATGCATGCAACATTACATTGATTATTAAAAATTAATCTCCTATGAAATGCAAATACCAAAGAATCACTGACTTTCCCCCCTCAGAAAATGTTTAATGGCAGTTTACCTTCCTTGTCTTGTCCTTGATATACTCAAGGGCAGAGAGCAGCTCTTTAGAAGGACATAGACAAGCTGGAAGAATGGGCTCAGAGGAACTTTATGAAATTGAACACAGACAAAAGCAAAGTTCTGCATCTGGGAAGAAATAACTTCTGGCAACAAGACAGGTTAGGAAATTACCTGATGAGCAGCTATTCTGAAAAGGTGTCGTGATCCTAGTGGATGAGAAGCTGGATGTGATCCCACAGTGTGCCCTGGAGGCAGTGTAGGACAACTGCACCCTTGACTATAAAATAGCAGGACCCTACCCAGGATCTCAAAGGAATACTAGGGTTTGTTAACCCTGTCTAAAACACTGTATCCAGTTTGGTGCCCATCAGTACAAGAAAGGCACTGATCATCTGAAGCAATTTCAGCAGATGACCACCATGACAGTCAGGAGGCTGAAGCACTTGCCCTGTAAGGACAAACTGGTGGACCTGGACTTGTTTAACATGGAGAAGGATTGGGTGGGAGCAGCTAACTTCAATCTTCCAATACGTACAGAGGTTAACAAGAAAAACATGCCAGGCTCTTCAGAGTAGTGCATGGCAGCAGGAGGAGGCAGAAGGCTTAAGCTGTAATAATTAGATAGAGGCAAAATTTCTTCACCACAATGGGAGTCAAGTATCAAGCACTGGAAGAGGTTGGCCAGAGAGGTTGAGCAGTCTATATCCTTGTAGGTTTCAAGACCTGACTGGATACAATCCTGAACAAAATGACTCATGATTTAATCAGGAGGTTGTGCAAGATCATATAATCATAGAATGGCTTGGGATGGAAGGGATCTTAAAGATCATCTAGTTCCAACCCCCCTGACATGAGCAGGGACATCTTTCAGCAGACCAGCCTGCTCAGAGCCCCATCCAACCTGTCCTTGAACACTTCCATGGATGGGGCACCTGCAGCTCCTCTGGGCAACCTATTCTAGTGCCTCACTACTCTCACAGACAGTTCTTCCTCATATAATCTAAACCCTCTCTCTTTCAGTTTAAAACCATTCCCCCTTGTCCTATCACTACATGTCCATGTAAAAAAGTTGCTCTCTCTCTTTATTATAAGCCCCCTTTAAGTACTGAAAGGCCACAATGAGATCTCCCTGGAACTGCCTCTTCTCCAGGCTGAACAGCCCCAACTCTCTCAGCCCGTCTACATAGGAGAGGTGCTCCAGCCCTTTGAACATCTTTGTGGCCCCCCCCCCCAAAGATGACCGAAGTGCATTCCAACCTGAATCCTATTATAATCCCCTGTCTGATCCAATTAAAGAGGCACTGTGTTAGGGTTCTGACTGTAATTTACCTCTACTTCGGCTGTTTTTTAGCAGCTTGGAGACACTATGTCTGTTATTTTCTTACCAAGTGAAGGCATCAGAAGGAAGACAGGGAACACATCTCACAGGGTTATATCGAAAGGAAAGAGTCAATGTACACAAGTTGCAACACAAGAAATTCTGGCTGGACAGAAGGGAAAAACTCTTTACCCCTGAAAACAGTTCAGCAAACATGCCTGGAGGGAAAAAAAAAAGAAAAAAGAAAAGGCTGGATGAGAAATTGAGCAATCTAATCTAGATTTGAAATTAGGCCTGCTTTGGTAAAGAGACTGGATTAAAGAACTTCATGAGTCCTTTCAAACCTGGTTCCTTCTATCATCCTACAATTTATGTACAAGGCAGCATCAGGGACTTCTCTCTTTCATTTCCATTTGATCATTCCCTGAAAGAACGAATTTGTAACTCATGTGTCCAAACCTCTCCAGTTTCTGCCTTTTTGCTGCTTGAAGTAGTGGCTGATGAGAATCAATTAACCCAATTATGTCTTCTTCAGAGAAGCTGTTAGACTGCACACAGTACATAAGATATCCACTGAAATCTTTGGATTTTAAGGGTTTTTAAGTTTTTGTTGCTATAAAGAGTCTGGCATTAGCATGTAGCTTCCTGAGAATACAGTCACTCTAACAAGCTATGTTTTCACTGTAAGGAAGATATTTTTATGTCAAGAAAGGCTTACGCTCCATTATTATTAGTCTAAACATACAAAGAAAGGGAAGAAACACACAACATAAATCTCAATTCTATCCCATGCTTCAAGGCATAGCAGCAGAAACTTCGTTAAAACTTTCGTCTCCTAGAAAACCGTGTGTTGTGCTAATGTAACTTCAGATACACTTATGCAAATTCTACAAAAAACCTGACCATTATTTTAAAAATCCACAACTGGCAGTAATAAAAATAGAAATAGGTGATTCAAAGAGGCCCATGTTAAACATAAAGCATTGCCAGCATCTTTTCAAGCAAAAAAAGGTGTTCAACAGACATTCAGTAGCTAAGGTGGTAAAAGAATCCCCCCTACCTCTATCCTATGTATATATTCATAAAGAAAGGCAGGACAGGAAGGATACGTCCCCACAATTTTTATGTGCTTTCCAGCAATGTCAATACAAATATCATGGCTGAGAAAAGATGTCTCTACTTCCAGAAAGCTCCTTTATTCCAGAAGCCTCATGTTCATGCCAGTAAAATACCTCCAGTGATTCACCACAGGCTGCTTGACTTTTTAACTCAGAAAAATAACCTTTTCTAACTCTGCATTCAGAGGCAAGGTCAGCACAGCCAGAATCTGGATACGTATCCTGCCTGATACTCCCTCAGAATTTGCGAAATTCATTTTCAATCCACCTGTGCTTTTTTTGGCATGCTGCTCAACGAAAATCCTTCACTGCAGGATGTGCTTTACTGACTGCACACATGTATGATGACTACGTGGTTTTGTGAAGTTACCAGGCCCCTGGCTGACTGCAGACTGATGTAGCTGCTGTTACTGCCTGCTTTTCTGCTCAGCAGCTCCCATCCTAGACTATCTGCACCAAAAGGCTGGGGTCAACTACATTCATGACTGTGTCCTCTCTTACTAACTGGTCCTAGAATCATAGAATCATAGAATTGTAGAATCAGCTGGGTTGGAAGGGACCTCCGAGATCATCAAGTCCAACCCTTGATCCACTACTGCTGCGGTTGCTAGACCATGGCACTCAGTGCCACATCCAGTTTCTTCTTAAAAACCTCCAGGGACGGAGAATCCACTACTTCCCTGGGCAGCCCATTCCAACGTCTGATTACCCTCTCTGTAAAGAAATTCTTTCTAATATCTAACCTAAACCTCCCCTGGCACAACTTGAGACCATGAGCTGCTGCTGCTGAGGCTTCTAGACCTCAGTCGTAACATGAAGCTGCCCATGGGCCCTGAGTGCCCACAACAGGCTGCAGCTCTAATTGCTGCTCTCTTTGCACTGCACTGGCTGACCATGCTCTGTGCACGGTGTGATGGTCACGTCTGCTGCCATGCCTGGTATCAACGTGGCATCAGTTCTTTAAAAAGCTGCGTGTGCGGAAATGAATGTGTGTATGGGCCCAAGTGTACCTGTGCTTCACAGGAAAATGAGGAGTTGTATTTCACAGGAAAATGATGGGCTGTTGTATTACCAAATTACCAATAGTTACAACAAATATTTCTTGGTAAAGCAGAGGCCCATTACTATCAAGGCCAAGAATCCAAAGAACTAAAAGACCAGGTGGTGGGATACAGAGCAGTGGAGGGCGTATCACGGCTCTGGTTGGTGCAAGGGACTGTTATTGGTACTGGATATGTTACCTGTACTGGTACAGGTACTGATACTGTGACTGGAACTGGTACTGGGCCTGGAGCTGGGCCTGATACTGGCACAGGTACTGGTATAGGTATCTGAACTGGTACTGGTACTGGAATGGGGACTGGGATAGGATATGGGCCTGGTAGTGTTACTGGAACTGTGATTGCAACTGGTACTGGAACTGGGACTGGGACTGGAACCTGGCCTGGCACAGGTACTGCTACTCCTATTGGTATTAGAACTGGGACTGCTACTGGAACTTGGCCCGGTACTGGGACTGGAACTGGGCCTGGAACTGGGACTTGAAGTGGGCCTGGTACTGGTGCTGGAACTACACCTGGTACTGGTTTTAGTACTGCTCAGTATCAGTACAGTGCCTGGGATTGAACTTGGACTGGGACTGTGCCTGTGCCTCAGCCTCCCCCTCCCTCGCCTCACGACAGTGGCTCCACCCCTCGCGCTCAGCACCACCCACTCCGCTGTCATTTACATACCCGGCGCTGACGAGCCAATGGGGCGCGGTCTCGCGCGGCGGTCGCCCCGCCCCTTCCCCGGCCGCCGGTAACGGAAGCGCCCGGAGCGGAGCGGCCCCCGCGCGCGGCATGTGGGGAGCACGCCCGGGGGGGGCGGCGCATGCGGTGAGTGCGGGCGGGCCGCGGAACGGAACGGAGCGGAACGGAACGGAACGGAACGGCCGCTCCTCCCGTCCTTCTCCCTCGAGCCCGTGCCCCGCGCGCCCCGCAGGCCGCTGCCCCTCCCGCCCCGCCCCGTCGCCGAGCGCGCTGCCAGGTTGCGCAAGGGGGTGGGGGGCGTTGGCCACCGTGTGTGTAGGAGCGGCCTGCGGCCCCAATGAGGGGCTAGTGGTGTTGTGCTTGGCTGGGTTGCCCGGCCGTGCCCTTGAGCTGCAATGGACTCGGCTCTGGAGGGTTCGGTGGCAGGTGTGACTGCGACGGTGGCCTTCGGTAGCACAGAGCCGGTGCGTGGGGGTGCAGGTGGGAAGGGCATTGTCATTTCACCTGGTGTCCTGTATTGGTGTTGATGGTGTTCCTCCTCGCCTCCCCTGCCAAGCCCTGCACGCTACCTCAGACAAGTCTCCTAATCAGGTGTCGTGTTCTCCGAGGAAGAGCCGGAGAATCCCTTGGCACTGCTTGTGTTTCCAGCAGGGAACTATACCAAGTTGGTGTTTGTAGGTACAATGTGCCAAGTGGAAGCAGACAGCACAAGAATGCAGACAGAGTAGCCCATTGGGATACTGTTATATTTTTTACCACGAGGGTGGTGAGGCATATGTTGCCCAGAGAAGCCTGGATACCCCATCCCTGGAAGTGTTCGAGGCCAGGTTGGATGGGGCAGGGTGTTGGACTACATGGTCTTATAAGTGCCCTTCCAGCCCAAACCATTCTGTGGCTCTACACACTATGAAGCATGTTTATCATTCAAACATAAAGTACTTCTAGAAAAACGAGGCAATGCATTACCAGTAGTAGTAAGGCCATTCAGTCACAGCATACAACAAGCATTCATCGTGTTTGGAATGATGTTTTTCCTGCCAGAGTAATTTGTTTGAGCTGTTCTGGTAACTCCTAGATCAGTAGAAACAGTGCTAATAAATCCTTCTCAAAAAGCTACTTCATGCTTCATAAATGGTGTGCGTTTGATATTAAATTAATCAGTAATTCCCACCAGCATGTTGGATTTGTGTCACCTTTGAGAACAGCTTGGTTTTATGGCTTTACATGTTCATGCCTTCGGGTCATTTCTCCATGCTTCTGAAGTATCCTGGAATCTATCTGCTTACCCTAGACTTTGTGAAGAGGGTAATATGTGGATTAAATGTAATATTTTTGAAAGCCATGGGAATAACTGTCTCCCTAGTAAATGGTTTATTCTGGAGGCTGTATTGCCCCTGGAGGGCTGTGTGTTGACAGGCACTGGTAATCGTGCCTCTCTGCTTGTAAAGACATGTTCTGTCTTGTTTGAAAGGCATTACTGATTTGATTGGTCAGAGTCAGGGCCCTGAACCAGCAGTGGGATGGAGCTGAGGTCTGGCCGTTTTAGTGGAAATATGAGAAGACTTAACATTACCAAAAAAGCCTGAATTGCTTTTGTCTTAGCTTTAAAAAAGTGCAGGCTGCATCTGCCTCTCTGCCTTCTCTCTGTAGGGTAGAACATAGCCAAATGCTTACTTGAGAGAAAGAATCAAGTTGAAGGTGAAAGATTATAGTCAAAAACTGTTGGCCAGTTGTGCTTTTAACACCAAGTGAATGTAGGTTCTGTGACTCTGTATTGCTGTGAGGAACAGAAGAAATGAAGAAATGTTGGCAGATGTCCTCTGAAATAGAGAGTGGTTTTCTTACCTCTTTCAAAATATTTTTTCCATGCAGCTGATGTACCATTAGTGTAGTTCTGCTTGAACTTGAGGTAGCAATCCATGTGTGTAGCCTTAGGCAGGCTTCCATTTGTACTGAAGTAGGTTTGCCCTCAGTTTCTGCAAGTTAGAGGTGTGGAGGTCCACTTCTGATTCCCCTGTTTTCTGAACCCTCTTTGGAGCTTTTGATGATTATAATGCAGTCTATAGCTGTTATCACAAAGAAGTATCTCAGATTGTTTTTCAAACAACCACTAACTTGGGAAAGTAGGGGGGAGGGAAGGGTAATGTTAGAAGTGCCTTCTGCTCTCTTGCTTCTTTAACTCCTGCCCCCGTAGCACTGTCCAGGTGGTTCTTGCCTCTAATTTCCAGTATTTGTCTTCTTTAGGACCTTACTTTTTCTCTGGGTTGAAGTGATCAGGAAACAACTGAAGCATCTAAGATACAAACTGCATATTGTTTGACTTACTTCTGCCGGAGCTTATTGTTTCACTTCTTGGAAGCAGAAGTGAAATTGAGGAAATTTTTGGGAAGAGTGCCAAAGTGTTTTGGTTAAACAGTTAAGAGTGGATAAATTGCTGACCTTTTCCGGGAGTGGTGCAAGCTTCTTTTTCTGAAAGGTTTCCCCCTAACTTACTTAGAATTTTTGCTTGGGGAGGCTGTTGCAGAGAGTTGACTTGTTAGGAAATACATGCAAGTGGAGACAAGCACTTTCAGAGTTTTCAGAGTTTTATTGGCGAATGAAGAATGAGCTGAAATGTGGCAGGGACTAATGGGTTCTTCTAAAGGTATTCTAGCAGAGCTCTGGTTATTTTGAACTTGTCTAGCTGCTGTTTGAACTTCCAGTTTGCAGCATCCACACCATAGCATGAAAAGGAATTCCTCTGGTTCAGGAAGTTGATCTTTCACTTTTTTTGAACTTGACATTTGCAACCTTCAATAGGTGTCTCCTCTATTTGTCAGAAAAAATGTGATTCTTTATTCCCTATTTGGTTTTGTCATGATTTTTAGACCTCTGCTTTCTTCAGTCCTTTTTCTTCCATCCTGCAGCACCTCAACTGTGGTAATCATTGCTTGTGTGGAAGCCACTCTAGCTTATGCTGTGAACCTTCTCTGTAAATACAAGTACAGAGTACCAGTAATTTTACTGTGTCATTTTTAAGTGGGTGTATTAGAGGGGGAAGCTGTCCATCATGCATTGTGGAAGGATAATGTAGTGTGCTCTTACACAGTTAAATAATTATATTCTTTGACTTAGTTTTGAAATTTTTTTGTTACAGCTTCTGATATCCAGTCTGATTTGTTCAGTGTTGGTGAGCAGCTAGTAGATGTTTTCATCAAGGTGTTTGATATAACCCCAACACATAATTTCTGAGTAGCATGTAATGGAGAGGCTGTTGTATATATCTGAATAGCCTTGACCCTACAACCATCAGTGTGAAATTTAGCACCTCTCTTTCATATGTTAAAGCCTATAACTTGCCTTTATTGGCATACTTTACAGACAATTAAGAGAGTTTTGAAAATATTTAACTAACTTAAAGGATTTAATACTGTGTAAGTAGCAAATTGAGAATTTTCCTCTGAAAAAGAAAAAACAAATATGCCCTCCATCTGCCAGGATTTTTTGTAAGTATTGCAAATGCAAAATATTTTTTGTGTATATGTGTGAATGTTTCAGGAAATGCTCCAAGGGCCATCGGAAGATGTATTCCCAAAAATGGAAAGTCCAGTTGAAGAGATGGATACCTCTGATACCCAGTGGGGCTGGTTTTATTTGGCTGAGTGCGGTAAATGGCATATGTTTCAGGTAAATCCCTATGAAGTTATATTGGCTGTGGTGGATTTCCGTGCATCCAACTACCTATTGCTGAATTTGTCTAAATGTGCTTTTTCACTTATTTTATTTATTTTGAAGACTGATTCAAACAGTCATTGCTCTATTAGCAGTGAAGATATTGAAAGGAGTTTCCGAACAAACCCACATGGTTCTCTGTCTTTTACGACTGCAAAGTTTAACTACATGCTAGACTTTTCAGGTATGTATCTTTTCATAGAGTAAATTTAAATAATGCAAGGTGCCAGATACACAGCACATTTGTTCATTCAGCAAGTTATTGTCCTCCTATCTGGTGCAAAAACATTTATTTGAAAATGCCACCTTTACAGGAAAGTTCATATGAGTTTGTAGAAGCTGCTGCCCTGTTACATTTTTTTAGTGTAATTTATTACTGTGCTAGCATGTCTTGTTTCATAGCTGTCCATCATGTTACTTGCTGTTTGCCTCAGCTGCAGGTGGTGTGTAGCATACATCGATTAAAACATGAAGTTTGAACCGTTTTTCTTTAACATGCAACTTCCTGTAAGCTTGAAAAACCTCTTCCATTCAGAGTCTGTTTAAGAAACATTGCTATGAAGGAAGTTTTCTGCAAAATACTGGCATCAAAGTGATTTAATAATTCAGCAGGTAGTTGAAGCCAGTTCTGTTCTCAGACTAATAAGGAGATAGGCAAAAAGATTTTCTAGTAAATTGTAAAGATCTCACTTGTGTCGTTCTTGTTAATTACAGAATATTACAGGTTTCTAATGTATGCAACTAAATATAAATGTAATCTGTGCTTTGTTCGAAGATGTGTTCTAATAAGTTCCTTTTTTTTTTTTTTTTTTTTAGTTTTTCCATTTGTAGATTGTTTATTTTCTGATTAAATTATAAAACGGCTATATGTTTAGATACAGGAAATCAAGGAAATAAATATGTATTCTAATATACTCAAACTTCAAGTATTTCAAATACAGAAAGTGAGGACTGGGTAAAATAACAATGTACTGGCCGTAAAGTAGTATATAACAATACAAGGAGTTTTTATGTTTACTTGTGTTGAAATGTCTGTTTAATAAAACTGTTTTGCATCCAGAATAAAAACACTAAATACAAATATTAAAGAACAATTTTTGTCACTGTCTGTAGGTCATAATATCTTAGTAAGGATAGTAGTAATATTCTTTGTCATCCTGTTAAAGTCAGTGGAAGTTTTGCCAGTGATTTAGTGAAACTGAATTTTAGATGGGTATTTTAAAAATAAACATTGTGTGTGTAATATTTGTGCATTTTGCCAACTCACAAATGACAATGCATTCAGAAATATTTATTGAAAATGCTGATTTGTTAATTGCTGAAAAAGGAACCCCTGTCAAGCAACTTTGGGTGTAGTAATGTTATTTTAAAAAATGTCACGTAAATGTTTCAGATGCTATAGATGAATTCTAGAAATTTTCATTTTAACTTTTGTTTTATGCTCAGTGATGAAACAAATCAACCTGACTACCCTTAAGCAACGTCCAATAAAGCGAGCTCCCTTTTCTATCAATTCATTCAGGTAAGGAA